AAAATTTTCATCAACCAACCTTCATTAATAATCCTCCACACATTGTGGCCATCTGATTATGCTCTGTAGAATGTACAGAATTATCACATGTAATAATCGCCGGATTAATTCACTACGTCACATCCGAAATTAGCATAGGCCGTTAAATATTCACACATCCTTTAGGCTGTCTCTTCGATTTTCCTGTGGATGAAGTGCACAGATTGCTTTGTGTGTTCCAATCTGACTTCAATATAGGGAATATGTAAAAGTGAAGATATTTTGTATATTTCATCAGTTTCAATATGATTCAGTAAGCAAATAATCAAGTTTTGGAAATTTGTGGTCAGTTTCCCAGTATTTATTGATGTTGAAGTCGTGAAATTCCTCATATAAGTGTGTACAAATGTACATTTGAAATTTGAAAACTTTTCCCTCAGTGAGTGTGTTATTATAATGTTGACCGAAACAGAGTGAAATTGCGACATTTGAGCATGTGACAGGGTGCCTGGCAATGGTTTCTTCCCGACAACTTCATCGTGACTTACACACAAGATATGTTTTGAGTACTATAATTACATTAAAAATTCACATCTTATGGCACTCCTGCGAGACATGTTGATTTTGCTCTACTGAAATGGACATGCTTTCTAATTAAAAATGTGTCAAATATTTTTCAACTCCAAAGGCACGAACACTTTTTCCACCCATTCAACATTTTCTCTTTTTGCACCCCGAACATGGGATGGAGAATGAAATGAAATCAAATGTATGCTACTGACGATGGAGCTGTGTTTAACGTTAAAATCTCCAATGCATGTGTAATTACAATTTTTCTCCATATAATTGCGGAACTTCAGTTGCGAAAAATGTCTCCAACTTTCACTGTGAAAACGAAAAAAAATGCTGAGAGAAAAGCGTCATCATGCGGGGAAAAAATGTCATCTTGAGCGTCGGTGCCAAGAGCTTTTTCGTGAAGCTTTATTCTCAATACGCGCTATTTTGCATAGTGTCCAGGAGAGTGGAGAAAATGGAAGGGAGAAAAAAAACTGACGAAATGTTTCTGATTGTGCACCAGGTATATGAGTGTGAAAAAATATGATATTTTAGCAAGAGGACAAGCTGAAAAAAATGAGACTTGCCATGTGATGAGGTGGATTTTGCCACAGTGGAAATTTTTGGTTTTCAGCTTGACTGAAGCCAACGCTCTGGAAAAAATTGCAAAATGAAGTGAATATAATCAGAGGAGCACAGTTGGAGTTAGAAGTTACAGGAGAATTTGAAAAAAAAAGTTCTATGACAGAAATGCATCACAATTTTATATTGCTTTTTCACTTAGGAGACTTTTCCGTCATTCTTTGCGCTTGCATATTTTTATTCCAATTAATTTCACATATCTGCTTCTCTCGTAACTATGATATTTCCGCGACAAATATTGTGAACAAAAACCCTTGGGGTGAAAAGTTTACATCATAAAATTCTGTTGATGAAGTCACTATAGGATTAACTTTCAGGGTTGTTTTGGAACTGAATATATATGTATGCATATTATGTGCCTTAATTTCATGCAAATCAAATAGCAGAGCCATTGAAAACGTATGCTGGCGAGGAGTGAATTGGAGAAAGGAAGCATTTACAAGGATTATTTGAGCAGTAAATCCAATATTGACGCCTATTCATTGACCACATATTTTTCCCAATGCCCATTCAAGCCATGCTCTGCAGCGTGTATTGAGGCGGTGATTGAAATGAATTTGGAAATTCTCGAGCAATTTTTACGCATATTGTGCTCAATTAAAACAAGTTATGTGGATGAAAATTGTTAGTGCCCGTTTTTCTAGCAGGCGAAGCGCATCCCCGAAAAATCTTTCCCCATGTGCTTAAAAGCGAGTCAATTATACTGTATTTTCTGCTGAGTGGCTTCCACAGCATCCAATGAATGGCATAATTTAGTGAAAAGAACTTGACATATTCACCATATAATCCATAAATAAAATGCCACCCCGGAAACTTTCCCAATTTTCTCAATTCACTATTGCAATTTCCCTCGCATTTCCGTCCATATTGGACGTTTTTTACCGCCACCCCCGCCCCATGTTTTCCGGCGTGTATTTGAGAAAAGGAGCCAAGTGAATTGAGCCCCCATTCCTTCGAAATATTTAATCTCATTTATTGTTGGGGGAATTCATTAAGTTCTTGCTGCAATTGAGAGAAAATTAGGATCAGATGGTCAATGAAAGTTTTAGCAAGTGTTTCTAATTGTGTAATCCATGTAGCTTGGCTCTTCTTCCTTGGAAAACTTGGTCAACTTGTGTTGGAACATTTCGTGAAATTTCAAATACAATCCAATAAATCCCATTTAAGGTATAGTTCTTAAGCAACTGCTCTTGCAGATATTGTTGAAAACGCCAATGATTGTGGCCAAGAAACGTAAAGTTTTAACTTTAAATATTTAAATATGTGACTCTGAAGAATATCTTTGCGAAAGTTTCGAAAAATTTCATTAGCAATTCAAAGTCTGACATGAGTTGAGTCCAAGGAGCGTCGAAGAAGTTCATAATCGTGTGAGTGTGGCCTAAAGTGCAAAGAACAAGACCAAAATATATCCTGAGTTAAAACTTATTGGAATGCAAGCCACCAAACAGCACGGAGAGAGTCCCTTTTTGATTTAACCCCTTCCCCGCAAGTCGCCTCGTTTGTCTCTATTATAAATGAAGAGTGTTCCGTGAAGGCGCCAGAACACATCTTAACTTCCTGGCCTCGCTTCATCATCTCAGAATTTTACTCTTGATCGAGGAAATTTCAAGAAAGGCACCCCATTGAATACACAGCAATTTAGCGAGCGAAGTCAAAAGAAGTTTTTAGTGAGAATTTATGAATTTTCTTTCATGCTATTTGCATTTCTTTGAAGTGGCTTTTCGCAAGTATTGTTGATGCTATTTCATGTTCTCTCCGACGGAAATTCTCTTTACATTTCAACTCCACTCATTTCCATGCACTCGCCACTGTATCAATTTCGTGGGTTATGCAAAATTGTGAATTTAAGTGTGAGTTTTTTGGCTCATGGAGTGAGATCAATATGCCCGTTAACTGAATATCATAATTTACACCTCCTTTAAGCCACTTTAAAGTTTACCTCACCTTCGGAGATTAAAGCAGGTTAAGGAATTTCACGGGATAACTTGGCAAATAGTAATATTACTTATATTCCGATGGGGAGCTTTCTGCAAGACAAAAGTGACTAAAGCTACGGGAAGCAAAAGTTTGTTTGAAACTGAACTGCACAGTAACAAAGGGGCAAAAGGGTTTCAACTTTCAGCGTGTGCCATCTTCGCTCAACATGCAGCAATAATATTCCTGTGATTATGATGATGATGACAATATTATGCAGCAGATCGGAAAATTCGTTGAAGTCATGCGATGTTTTGGAGCTGTGAGGAAAAATGCCAGTGTTTTGTCGTCCCAGAAAATTGGAAGAAGGACAATTTCACTTCATTTACGGGATTACCTGAGGAAAATTCACTTCAACTAGCTGAGACAACTGTGAGTGTCCAGTTTCCCCAAATGACCCTCACAAATATCGAGTGAATTACCCAATTTGGCTAAACTGACCAAAAAGCTACTGCATGAGCTTTGTGTGGGATGGAAATTTTCCCTTCTGACCAACTTTGACAATAAACTCCCTCGCAACTGTAAATCTCGCTTGGGAGTTCTCTTTAAGACTGCAATTTAGGTTGAATTTGGAAGAAAAGTAAGTGTTTCAATATCCAGAAATATCTGATTTTCGATTGAATTCTGCAAATGCATTAAGTACAACTCTCGATAGTATTTGGGGACTTTTGCGCGCACTTTTCCATTTCAGCCATGTCATTAATTGCTGGCCAGACTTGTTTGTGGTTTGATTACCCGACGAACTTTCACAAATGAGTGTGAATTATATGCTTTACTAATGAGATCACCTACCCAAAATAATGACATTCCGCCAAATAACTTATCCAATTAGTTGCATGTAAAGAGAGTTTAATCCTGGCTCGGTCTCAAATTGTTTCATCTTTTCGCGGATAGTCTAATTTATTACTGTAGATTTTCCAGCATAATAACACTCTGAGATGCTGGGGTTATATAGACAAAGTTGAGGATGATGAGTATCGAGATGAATTTATCTGTTGGCCCGTGATAATATACCTTTGATTAGTCATTTCAACGAGCATCTGCAGTGCTGAGTATTTTCAATGGCAAATCGGGAAATATATAGTTTTGCAACATGTTCACAGTATAGTGAAACGGGGAGTATTAATGAAGTTGCATCGTTGTTGATTAAGTGGGATACTTTTCACGAATGTCATGGAGAATTATTCCGGTTCTGTAATTAATTCCTGTAAAAACTAATTAAATGCAAAATGTGTTACAAATTAGCCGATCTCTCGTGCATAATTTGACATACTGGGAAGAGAGTATTCAATATATGCCTTGCTTGTATCGAAAGTAGCTTTCCACTTAATTGCATGTCGACGACAATGCAGTCTAGACTGGACGAGATCTCCCAAATTTCCGTCTAGACGTGATTTATGACTGAGTATGGCAAAAATAAATTAATCCCACAATCTCGCTTGCCGCCAAGATGTGTACATATATATATATATATATAATATTATGTAAATTGGAAATGAATTTCCTTTCGACCGCTACGGATGGGTGGGAAAATCGGCCAGTCACGATTTTTTCACCAATGGAGATGCTTCTCGTTGTTGCTGTTTAATAGCCTGGCGATTCTGGAGAGTCATCAGACAAATAACCCCAAGTCCACCCTCACTTCCAACCACCCCCGCGAAAACCAATAATATAATCATGTACTGGGCAAAAAGTCTTGTGATTTTAAAAATGATCGATGATGTGATAAAAGTGTCTGCGACTCCCGCTGGTCTGGCCGCAATTCTTCATCCGTGCCGACGAAAGAGAGCAAATTGTGGAGCTCTGTCAAGAGAAAAATGGGGTGGAAATATAAAGTGATACGCACACAGCACTTTCTGGCAATTGGAGGCAGAACAATACCCCGTCAATTATGTTGCACGGAAAAAGTGGAAATGTGAAGAAAAGTAGGATGAAGGTGCAGGAAGACAAGGCTGCTTTTATCTTGGAATACGCAGGCATTGCTGCAGAAGCAGAACCGATGATGCGAGAAGAGATCCAGTGAGTGCATCCCTTTGAGCAGGGTGTCTTGTTATGCTTGAGAGCAGGAAAAAGCCCCTGGCATATGGTACTTTTCAATAAATAATCAATTTATTGTAACACACACCCTTTAGTTCCACTTCAGTTGACTCTTGTGTAATTTTAGACATGAAGAAGCAGCAGCATCCTCCTGGAGCACCGATTTTACCGATTTCACCCATTTTCCTCTTTCATCGATTTCCTTGATGCATTGGGATTCTGTGTACCGTCTCCTGGGTCACTCTTTCTCACCATAGCATCAAGAAGACGGAAGAGGGAATTTTGTAACTGTCAGAAAAGTTTCACCACCCTCTCGACTTTACACTCTGTCCGGCTTTTAATTCCTCACGGAAGAATGCACAATTGCACAAAGAATGTTAATAATATATTGCATTGTGATATCTGAGATGAGGAAATTTTCCAACAGACACCCCAAACTTTCTTTCAAGGCTCACAGGAGTTTCATTGGGAATTATTGGTTAGAAAATTTCACATGAGAATTGGGAAAAATATTTTCCAAATCCAATACGTGAATTCTTTTAACCTACATCAACTTTGCTATGCAGATTGCACAAGGGAATGGTTTTGAATATGCATAGAAATGTGCTTGGAAAATTAAATTTAGATTTATAATAAAGATGCAAAACTTACAACTTTCCTTACATATATTTTGCAAAGTTTCCTTTCATGTAACACTGATTAAATTATTTATTAACTATAAGCAGCTGCACAGGATGAACAATATACCTTTGTATAGATCGAACGACCCTTTTGTGGTTGTGTATCGCAATTTTTTATTAATATCCATTGACTATCCCTTCAAAAGCCACCCTGACAGGTTAAATTGCTTTTATTTATTCTCTCAACTTCACGCGTTTTCAATATAAAAAAAATATGAAACGGGAAAAGCCCGCATTCTGTAGTAAATTAAATTTTAATGAAATTGTTAGTAACAGGGTTATGCTGTTGTTTCCCATTACAATTCATTGCAAGTAAGTGAGAGAGTCGGTTGTAAGGCTTTGAAGAATCCCTGTCGATGGTGAATGTGGGGTTGTGGGGGTATAAACTATATATACACCCCAAGCTAGTTCCATTATATTGTGCTTCGTGTTAAACATTTCGTCATTTGCATCACTCTGCGTTGTAGTTGCTGCAGAGACACCATGAAGATGTGACATAGGTTTAATTCAGCAACGGTTTTGCTGTTTCCGACCAAGACACGGCGGCTTTCCACGACACAGAGACACTTGCTGGCAGCAGTACGAGATCATCGCATTCAGCCGCTGTCACTCGAGAAGAGTAAAAGCCCTCCACAGTGACTCTCCCGCAGGGTTTGGGCCTCCCTTTCATTAACACCCTCTCGGCTGCTCTTTCGCGTGCGCTTGAAACTCTCGGGTTGCTTACAGCGCGCCTAAAATAGAACCCCACCTCCATTGCGGGTGGGATATGCTTGTATTATTTGTGCACGAGGCGAAACTATATACAGGGTGGAGAGTTCTCTGTGTAGCTATTACTTCATTAGGTGACAATTTATGTGTGTCGCTCCAACTAAGTGGACTCCCACCAGTGCAGAGAGAGCACATTAAAGCTCAGCATCCATTATGTAATGCTTAGGCTTTAATATTAAAACGGTGCGTCTTGCAGGAGGCGTGCTCCTTTTCTCCGTGGCTAACGAAAATCGAATTAATTATTCAGAAAGAGAGGGAAAGAGGGAGAGAGAGGGAGAGTGTGCATGTGAAGAAGCACTGCTCCGGCTTAAGATTATCAATTCCGGATGGTGATTTTGCCATCCAATAATGCACCATCCTCAGTGTGACATCTTTAAGTTATAAATCAATTTTCCATTGTAGCAAATGCAAATTAATCAACTCAATTTTCTCTCGTAAATTTACAACCAACACTGCGCGTCTTCTCGGGAAAAACCCTCACAAGGAGCTAATTAGCTGCTCGCGTGCTTCTTAGTTTCTGCCAAAATATTTTCGGTCCAAAAGACAGCCCCGCGCGCCATTCAGCAGCTCTGGAACACTCTCAACGATGCTCTCGGGTCTTCCATTAAAGCAAATGTGTGGCATTTAAATCAACACTTATCCAATTTACTATGTACACCACACTTTCAATTGTCTCAATTTGTCGCTCAACACACCTCTCCTAGCCACTATATTAATCATTACACTGTATTCGTTTGTTATAACTGCCAATTTTCAATTAACACCCAACCGCACGTCATCCTCAAATGAAAATGGCCAAATAAGACTATCATAAATTTTCCGGAATTTACGGCAATTGGCCAACGGGAAGTAATCACAAATTGAGCAGAAGAGCTATTCAATTTAGTGTACATGGCTTAGGATGACAGTTATTTTTTCTAAACATCTTCTTTTACCACAATTTCAGATGCTTTCTCAAAAGAAAGTGCTCCGAAGCAACATATGAAAGCATCAGGTTAGGAGGCAAATAAATCTTGACTTTTTCACCATTCGACACGGATGAAAGAGAAGCTCTTAATAGGATTAGACGTCTCATAATATCTATACCAAAATATAAGTTTAGCAGACGATTGAGAAAAAATTACATTTAATATGGACAAGTTTATCAATTGTGAATCTTTTGAATACTTCCAAAGTGAATTTGTTTTGTCTTTGAGAATGTCCGCAAAATAATGTTTCATTGTATATGCGTGGAGGTGAAGGTATTTCTGGATCATCTTGTCAATTACTCGCCCCTTGGATATGGTCGAAGGTTGAAAGGTGAGAAAACATCGTTTATTTTTATTATTTGCTGAGCTTCATTCCGACCTTGTCACTTTGCTTTTTCTTCGCTCATTCCTCTCTTCGTCTTATGTTTCCACCGACACACAGCAACCATTGAAAGCTTCTCTCCATTCAATACTGTTCAATTTAACTTTAAATTGAATAACACAACATAAAATACGACAAATATCAGACAAAGACATTTCACACGACATGTCCTATGGACAAACTTTAGTACATGTAAGCGGTGCGTAGGGCAAGTTGTCATGTAATGTCAAATGCAATTCATGAATGAAAAGTGACTTGCACAATTTGAGAATCTGTGAGACGGAAGACAGAGTAGAAAAATTGTAGAAGGGAGAATTATTGGAAATTAGAAGGATTTGTGCGGAAGAAGGATTGTGAAGAGGAAATACAGGAGTGATCTGATTGTGGAAAGGAAGAAGGAGACGGAGGAAGTGAAGGAGTGGAAATTATAGTGAATTAATCAAGCAAAAGTGTCTTTCATTGGGAGCTCACGCATTGTGGTAGAGTGTGGAATCATCAGTAAACAGTCGTCATCATCGCAGAGGCGCGCTTTCGAGCAGGATTTGTGGATAATATCTAACATCTTATTTGCCTATTCCAGGTAATAATCGTAACACGTGGTCCTTCGAGCCGGATTTGTGGATAATATCTAACATCTTATTTGCCTATTCCAGGTAATAATCGTAACACGTGGTCCTATCTCGGAAACCTCCGGGCCTGCTGGAGGAATTGAATCAGCTCAAGCCACAGTCCTGCCAATCAGAAGAATCTGCCAGACTGCCTGAAGATGTCCACACACGTGCGCAGCGCCTACAAGGGACAATTGACGAAGCTCAACTCCCAACTCGCTACTTATGAGGCCCTGCCTGTGAAGTTGGAACAGACTGGAGCGCGCTGGGATCTCAGCCACCTGCTGGACACCGTCGACAAGATCCGCCAACGCTACACGGCGGTGCAGGAGACGATCATCAACAATGCTGACGATCACACGCGCCCAGGAGAAGTCAATGAGTTGACGATGTTCCTCGATGAGTTGGACAAGAGCGAGGAGAGGCTGCGCCAGTTGATCATGGCTGTGAAGCCACCAGAAGAGGAGCGAGGAAACCTGCTGTCGTCTACCATCCAGAACTACGTCGTCGAGGATGGCCGAGTTGATCGGATTCTGGAAGGATTCCAGAAGATGGTGGACAGCATGAATGAGAGCCACTCGTCCGGTGCAGAATCGATGCCCTACACGAAGCTGGAGGCAGTCAAAATTCCCAGCTTCGACGGAACATACACCGACTGGCCCTCGTTCAAGGATCTTTTCCTCAGCCTGGTGGACATGAACACTAGGCTTACCAAGACGCAGAAGTTCCACTACCTGAAGACTTCGCTTACTGGACGTGCCAAAGAAGTCATCGCCCATCTGCCCATGGTTGAGAGCAGCTACGTCCTGGCCTGGGACGCCATCAAGGCACGCTACGAGTGTCAGCGCACGATCATCAAAGGCCACATCGATCGCTTCAAGAGCTTGGCGCCTGTAACAACGCCCCGAGCGGAGGATCTGAGGAGGATTTATGACGTCGCGACAACTTCCATCGATGCTTTGGATTCCCTCGCAGTCTCGGATCGGGATCCATGGATCATCCACGAGATTGTCAGCAAGCTGGACGCGGAGACTCAACAAACCTGGTCGAGAAAGCAGAGCGACAAGCCTACCTGGGACGAGTTCAAGGTATTTTTAGATAAGCGATGTAAGGCACTAGAAATATGTCCCTCAACTTTTGTGCCACAAGTTCAGCCTGTACAAGCTCTTCAAGCTTCTAAGAATGTTAGCAAGCCCTTTAATAAGCCAAAGCCCGCAAAAACGTTTACAGTTTCAAACTCTGTCAGATAGTAAGAGTTCATGTAAAGTTTGTAAAAAAGCCTCTCATAAGTTGTGGAAATGTCCGCGGTTTAAGTCATTGCCTGCTGCTGCAAGGCTCGAAACTGTTCAGCAATTGAATCTTTGCATTAATTGTTTGTCAGAAAGTAGATCCAGTCACACAGTCGATAATTGTTCTTATCCGCACTGTAAACATTGCCAAAAACCGCACAACTATTGGGTACATGACGCTCTCACTCCCGTCCCCTCCACCCATCTCGCTTCAACCAGTGCTGACCCGCATGATGCCACTGGAAACCCGTCCACTGAGAAGGCCCCCTTTCTGCGTGACCCGAAATCTTTGAGTAGTTTTGTTCCGTCAACGCTCAAGATCAACAGTCAGATTGGTTGTCGTGCCCTTCTCAAGACCACCCTTGTCAAGATCCGTGATGCCCATGACAATCTCCATGTGTGTCGCGCTTTACTGGATTTCGGGTCGGAAATCTCCGTAATGACGTCGGACTTATGCCAGCGATTGCGCCTGAAGACTCAACGCTCCCCGTTCTGCAAGATTGAGGGCTTCCAAGGCCAAGTCACCAGCATTAAGCATCAGGCGGACGCCATATTGGTTCCTCCTATGGGTCCAACGCTTAAGCTGCAGTGCCAAGTCGCGTCAAAGATTTCCTCGGATCTGCCTTCATGGCGCATAAGTCCATCCGAATTCTCGTTGCCACCCAATCTCACGCTGGCCGATCCCAAGTGGTTTGAGTCCCGCCCTGTTGAGATGTTGATTGGAGCTGGCCATGAAGACGACATCATGTTAAACGAGGTGTACCGCTTGGGCAATGGATCACCCTCACTGCACAACACAATCTTTGGCTGGGTAGTTGGCGGCAAGCTGTCGAACGATCCACCAACCCCACCATTGATGAGTCCCGTGTGCACAAAGGTCTCCATTCCGACCATCCAAGAAACTCTGCACGACTTTTTCAAGGTTGAAGAAGTGATTGATGATGCCGCGTGTGCAGAGCATAAGGAGGTCGAAGATCTGTACAGGAAGACCACTAGAAGAGCAGAGAATGGTCAGTACGTCGTCCACCTGCCCCTCGACAAGGAGAGTGAACTGCTTGGAACCAACAGGAGAAGAGCAACGCGCCAGTTGTTCCACTTGGTCAAGGAGTTGCACTCCACTGGCTTGTATGAGGAATACGACGACATATTTAAATCCTACGATAATGAGTCCATCATCGAGAAGGTGCCCAAGTCTGAGCTGATGAAGAAGGCGTACTACATGACGCATAGAGCAGTGGTCAAGAGGGACGCCAAATCGACCAAGGTTCGCATCGTATTCAACTGCAGTTCACAATCCGAGTCAGGGAAGAGTCTAAACGACTACATGAAGATCGGCCCAGTGATCCAGCGTGAGTTGAACGAGAATTTGTGGTGGTTCCGACGTCATGCGATCGCTTTCATCTGTGACGTCAAGAAGATGTATCTTCAAGTCATGCTCACAGAGGAGCATCGTGATCTGCAACGATTCTTGTGGCAAGCATCACCGCAAGGTCCAATGGAGGAGTGGCGATTCAGGACGCTGTGTTTTGGCAATGCCGCATCACCGTTTTTGGCCATTCGGACGCTCTTCCAGATCGGGGACGACGAGGAAGGAAGATTTCCTAAGGGAGCGAAGGCCCTTAAGTCCAACTTCTACGTCGACGATTGCCTGGTATCAGTGGCGTCTGAGGAGGAGGCACTGGAAGTGCAGGCGCAGTTGATTGGGATCCTGCAGACGGGTCACATGGAACTGTCCAAATGGCAATCGAACTCCCAGAGGATCCTCGGAGCGGTCAGACAGGATGGGGAGGCACAACACGAGGTCAGTCTTTCCTCCGACGGACATGTCAAGGCGCTGGGCTTGAGATGGAATCCTGTGGCAGATACCTTTTCATTTGATGTGGATGACTCGATCGAGGCGTTGGTTCCCACGAAGAGGAATATTCTTAGCGTGATAGCGCGACTGTATGACCCACTTGGCTTGGTGGCTCCAGTGGTGGTCATGGCGAAGGTGATTCTCCAGATGCTGTGGAAGGAGAACGCTGACTGGGATGAGACGGCATCTGAGCACATTCAGCGGGAGTGGAGGAGTCTCATTAGCTCATTACTTCACATTCCGCGAATGACGTTCCCCAGACGCATCTCTAATTTGGCGACAGTCGTCAAGGAAGAGCTGCACATGTTCTCGGACGCATCGGAAACTGCTTATGGGGCAGTAATCTTCCACGTGACTGAAGATGGAGACGGCAACCGATGTTCAAGGATGATCACGGCCAAGTCTAAGGTGGCACCGGTGAAGAAGAAGACGATCCCGAAGCTGGAACTCTGTGGAGCTACATTGGGCGCACGGCTTGTATTCAGAGTTTCCAGAAGCCTCGAGATTTCCCAGGTCTATTGTTGGGCAGATGCAAAGGTTGTTCTCGCTCAAATCCGATCCGCTTCTCCCCGACAGGATGTATTCACGAAGAATCGAGTGACGACGATCAGAGAGTTGACAGTGGCTGACCGTTGGAACTACGTGAACACCAAGGAGAACCCATCTGATCTAGTGTCGCGAGGCACAACCGCAATGGACCTGGAGGCATCTGAATTGTACTGGCACGGACCTGCTTGGTTGACGGAGAGCCAAGACGACTGGCCGAACGTTGAAGTTGCACCCGACGAGGTGGCAGAGATCGAGGAAGAGGTCGCTGCAACTTTCATCGTCGCCAGTCCGCCAGACAACCAGATCTTTAACCATCTTGTTCGCAATGTTAGTAACTTGCAACGGATGAAGAGAGTTGTGTTGTATGTCGCCAAATTCATCGAAATGTTGGGTTGTACGAGGGCCAAAGGGAACGCTGTTGATTCTCCCTCCTCGAACCCAACTCCTGGCTTCTCAGTCAAGGAATATCGATGGGCTGAACAACAACTCGTAAGATGGGACCAAGAGAATGCGTTTCCTGATCTGATCCGTCAGTTGAAGCGAGGAGAGGTCGCGAGTATTCCGAACTCCCACTTACGAAAACTCTACCCGTTCTTGGACTCAGACGGGATTCTGCGCGTGGGCGGCAGATTGGAGCATCTCGATGATACGTACAGCGTTCGGCACCCTGTAATTCTGCCCAAGAGTTCGCTGACGACATTGCTGCTTAAAGAGATGCACATCACGCTCATGCACGCGGGACCGCAACTATTGTTGTCATACTGTCGTCAGAAGTACTGGCCGATTGGAGGACGACATTCAGCGCGTAGCATCGTTCACGGATGCAAGAAGTGTTTCGTGCACAAGTCGACGCGAGAGACGCAACTCATGGGAGATCTGCCCAAGCATCGTGTTACGTTGGTCAGAGCCTTCCATAGCGTCTCCATTGATTGTTGCGGGCCATTCTTCATCAGAACGGGCGTCGAATCGCGAGGAAAAACCGCCAGAGTGGACATTGTCGTGTACGTGTGCACCGCGACCAAAGCAGTGCACTTGGAGGTGGTCAGCAGGCTCACGACGGAGAAGTTCCTGGATTCGTTCAGGAGATTTGTGGCACGTCGAGGACTTTGTGCTGAGGTACATACCGACAATGGACGAAACTTTGTGGGTGCGGCGAGCGAGCTGAAGAGGTTGATCCTGGACAATGCAGACGTTATTCACGAGGAGGCGGCAAAGATGAAGGTGACGTGGCGTTTTCAACCTCCACGATCTCCACACTTTGGCGGCCTTGTAGAAGCGGCGGTGAAGTCTGCAAAGATCCACCTGAAGAAAGTGATCGGCGACCAAGTGCTCAATTACGAGGAATTTCTCACCATTTTGGCACAAGTCGAGGCGGTGCTCAATTCTCGGCCCCTCACAGTTCTCACTGACGACCCAGCAGACCCTCAACCGCTGACGCCGGGACATTTCTTGGTGTTCGGGCCTCTGAATCAGCTCCCAGCTGACGATTTCGTCACGGACAACATTAACTGCCACCAGCGTTGGAAGATGTGTCAGCGAATGGTGCAGGAGTTCACGGCGAAGTGGAAATTATCATATTTGCACACGCTGCAGGCGCGAGTCAAGTGGACAGAGGAGAGGGACAATTTGAAACTCGACGACATTGTCATCCTACATGACGCATCTGTCTTCGCAAACAACTGGACCATCGGAAGAGTGGTCAGGGTTTCTGAGGGGACGGATGGAAGGGTGAGAGTTGTCGATGTGCGTACCCCGACGGGCACTTATACGAGAGCTATTTCTAATATCTCAAAATTGCCGGGTGTGTAGAGACACACCGCGCCCCCCGGGAGCCTGTTCAATTTAACTTTAAATTGAATAACACAACATAAAATACGACAAATATCAGACAAAGACATTTCACACGACATGTCCTATGGACAAACTTTAGTACATGTAAGCGGTGCGTAGGGCAAGTTGTCATGTAATGTCAAATGCAATTCATGAATGAAAAGTGACTTGCACAATTTGAGAATCTGTGAGACGGAAGACAGAGTAGAAAAATTGTAGAAGGGAGAATTATTGGAAATTAGAAGGATTTGTGCGGAAGAAGGATTGTGAAGAGGAAATACAGGAGTGATCTGATTGTGGAAAGGAAGAAGGAGACGGAGGAAGTGAAGGAGTGGAAATTATAGTGAATTAATCAAGCAAAAGTGTCTTTCATTGGGAGCTCACGCATTGTGGTAGAGTGTGGAATCATCAGTAAACAGTCGTCATCATCGCAGAGGCGCGCTTTCGAGCAGGATTTGTGGATAATATCTAACATCTTATTTGCCTATTCCAGGTAATAATCGTAACAGAGAATCTGTGAGACGGAAGACACGACCACGTGTTACGACGCAATCTATTGGATTTGGATTTGGACGGAATTTCTGCGCGTAGACTTCCTCCCCCCTTTGGAATGAGCGCGCTTTCGCGCCGTGCTTCTTGTTGTACCGGTCTTCCATCTTCTTATTGCGCCGAGGAGTGGAAGGAGGACGAAATTTGAGCAGGTCAAAGATCGTACGCACTTGCCTTCCAAGGAACACTTCTGCAGGTGACTTGCCATCAGGTGAATTCTCATTTGGAATGGTGCGATAGTTCGCCAAGAATCGCTGAAGACCATTGTCCAATGAGATCGCGCTTCCTTGCTTGTCCAGTGACCTCTTGAGTGAATCCACGAGACGCTCAGCCTGTCCGTTACTGTATGGGCAGTAAGGATTGGTTGTAAGGTGCTGGATTCCGTTCATCTGGCAAAACTCCTTAAACTCGCTGCTGACAAACTGAGTGCCGTTGTCGCTGACGAGGATCTCGGGCAGTCCATTCCGGGCGAAAGTTTCCGTCAACTTCGCTATTGTCTGCGATGCGGTGGTCGAAGACGTGCGGAATACCTCTGGCCATTTAGAGTAGGCGTCGATGATGAGCAGGAAGTTTTCTCCTTTGTATTTGGCGTAGTCGATGTGTATCCTTTCCCAACTCCGAGTAGCAAGTGGCCATGACGATAGATGTGCTTTTACAGGGTTCTTTGCAGTGAGGGCGCAGTCCGTGCAAGTTCCGACTTTATGCTCGATGTCCGAATCAATGCCCGGCCAGAAGACGTATCCTCGGGCGATTGATTTCATTCTGGACATGCCAGGATGAGCATGGTGAAGTTGGGCCAGTATCTTCTTGCGGAATTGCTCCGGAACTACGATCCTCTCCCTGTAAAAGACACAGTCATGGATAAGCGAAAGCGAATTTCTGAGCTTATAATATTTTGCTACTTCCCTGGAGTGGATGAATTTCAGTGCAGCCGGCCAGCCAGTCTTGATGTAATTCGCAATTTCTTGCAAACTCTCCGAGGCCTGAGTCGCTCGTTGTATCATGTTGAAATTCACCGGAAGCTTCGAGGATGCTTCCTCGACGATGGCTCTGTCCTCATCTTCATCCAGTTGAATTTCAGCAATGACGACTTCATCCTGTGGCTGCTGGCGCGCACTGGTCAGCCGGGACAGCACGTCTGCGTGTCCAAAGCTGTCGGTCGACGTGAATTTGATCTCGAAGTCGTAGCAAAGCAGCACCAATGCCCATCTTTGAAGACGGTTGGCAGTGTGCACTGGGATTCCTTTGCTGCTGCCGAATATCGAGACGAGCGGTTTGTGGTCGGTGACGAGATTGAATCTTCGACCATACACGAAGCGGTGATACTTCTTGAGAGCGAACACGATGCCCAGCGCTTCCTTCTCGATCTGACTGTAGCGCTGTTCAGCATCGGTGAGTCGCCTGGAGACGTGGTAAAATGCCTTCAGTGAACCATCGGGCATTTCGTGATATGCAACCGCTCCGATCGCATATGAAGAGGCATCAGACGCGATGTAAATGGGCAGCCGTGGGTCGTAATGAGTCAGGAGAAGTTCAGACTTCAGGATCGTCTTGAACCTCCTAAATGCGGCCCTGCATTTAGTTGACCATTTCCACGGAACACCTTTCTTGAGCAAACGATCCATGGGCGCACGGATTTTGCTCGCGCCCTTGATGAAACGGCCCCAGAATTGCACGGCCCCGAGGAAGCTGCGAAGTTCACTCACATTGGATGGAGCGGGCATTGCGCAAATAGCATCAGTTTTGCCGGGATCCGGGTGCTGGCCTTTTTCGTCCACCACAATTCCGAGGAATTTGATGTTCGAGACGAAAAAGCGGCATTTCTCCAACTTCACACGGAAATTGAAGTGTTCCAGGCGTTTGAAAACCTCCTTGAGAGTCTCCAGATGCTGTGCTGGGTCGTCGCTGGCCACACAGATGTCGTCAAAATAGACAAATACTCCGGGAAGGCTATGCAGCATGCGCTCCACGATTCCTTGGAATATTCCGGGTGCACTCCGGATGCCAGGCGGCAGTCTATTGAAGCGGAAGAGTCCCCGATGCGTGTGGATGGTCAGCAGTTGACTAGATTCCTCATCCATTGGGATCTGAAGATACGCATCGGAAAGATCGATATGACTAAAGACTCTCTTACCCGCGAATTGGCTGAAGAGGCTATCCGGATCGGGAATTGGATAGTCGTTCGTCTCCACAGCTTGATTGAGGCCGGTAGAATAGTCTCCACAGATCCTGATGCGACCGTTGGGCTTCTTGACGACAACAATGGGCGCAGCCCATGGCGAGTACTCGACGGGGGTGATTATTCCTGAAGCTTGCAGTCGCTGAAGCTCCTCGTCGATTGTAGCCATGATGTGAAACGCGACAGGGCGTTTAGGGCGAAAAACTGGGCTGACATTCGGCTTGAGATGGATGGTTCCAGTGGCCTGCGTGCACTGGCCCATTTGAGTGTTGAATACTGTGGGGAAGGTGGCCTGAAGCTCCTTTATTGCAGTCTCAGTGTCGACGTCCTTGTGCACTGAACTACAATAAGCACTGGGAGCGAGATCCCACAATCCTAGCGCCTCAATCCACTCGATTCCGAATAGATTTCCTGATGTCTTCTCGGATACTAAGCAGCGTCCACGGATCTCTCTGTCACCAAGTCTCACAGAGCTGTCGAACTCTCCCAGAATAGCGATGGGTTGTGACTGGGCATCCTTGACGCGGATGGACACAGGAGAAAGTGTTGGCTGACCGATCATCTTCCAGGTGTCAGCTGAGATAATGGACAAGTCGGCGGCACAGTCGAGTTGAAACTCCACAGTGTGTCCATTAACTGTTGGCGCGAGATATTTTCTACCATGTCGTCGGGCAGAAAATACAGCATTCGCGCTGGCCTGATTGGACGACTTCTTCTTCTTCTTGCCGGAGAAGGATTTCTTGCCAGACTTCTTCTTATCAGCGTCCTGATTCGAAGAGGGCGGGCAGTAGCCGGTCTTGTGACCAACTTTGTGGCAATCCGTGCACTTGGTGGTCACGTGGGGGCACTCCTTCACATAGTGCATTGCGCCGCACAGATAACACGGCCGCGGAGGGCGGTCTTTCTTGGGCGCAAACTCTTTCTTCCGGATCGCACTGACACTCACGGATGGGGCATCGAGACGCGAATCACTCTTAACATTGAGAAGGCGGCGCGCTTCTTCAACCATGAAGTCCAGAGTGATCTTCTTGGCGTCCTCAGTTTCGAGCTTGGTCAATAGCTGCTCCCGGACAAGCACGTACTTCTCTCCTTGCAGGCTGTTGACAAAGATGAGGGCCTTGAAGTGATCTGCGGTGCATTCTCCCAACTTAAAGGCCTCACAGTGGCGATTCACGACGCCACAGTGAGTCGCGATGTCATCTGATTCCTTGATAGTCAGTTGCAAGCACTTCCGGCGCGTGCAGAACAAAGATTCTCCTTTGCTGAAGAGCTTCGTGAGGCGCGCGACGGTGTCTTCGAACGTGAGTGCGGCGGGCTCTTGTGGCAGAATATTGTTGGCATAGCGATCATAGGCAGAGGCGTCGAGACGTCTCAACAGCAGCCTCACTTTCGCAGCATCGTCTAACGTGGCAGCGTCTTGGGAAAACGTGCTCTTGTAGCGCCGATACCACGTGTCGAATGTGAGGTCGTTCTCGGGCTGGTAAGAGAACTGATTGATGCCTCTGGCCAGGGCGTCCACGTTGAGTTCCGATGGATGAGATTTCTGGTCCTTCAGCGCCTTGAACTCCACCAGAAGGGTCGCCACGGACTCGAAGAGAATCGCCATGCGGTCTGAAGAGTCTCCGTTATTCGCCATCCCGTCAGCCAGTTGTTGTGGCGTGGTCTCACGTACCTGGGAATTATATTATATTATTTTATGTATCCCACTACGTCGCCAGTTGTTGTGGCGTGGTCTCACGTACCTGGGAATTATATTATATTATTTTATGTATCCCACTACGTCGCCGAGATCTTCACTATCTCACGGTCCACTGCTACGATACCCGATATCCACTCACGAATAAAAAAGGCTAAGAGTTGCTTGATTAAAGGTGATTTAATGTGACTTCAAATTATGATATAAAATTCAGATATAGTGTGATTGATTTTGATAGAGCGGAATATGACGATGCACTTGGCAAGAGAGTCCAATAGGAATAGATGGACGTCCTATTTACGACCACGTGTTAGACGGAGGAAGTGAAGGAGTGGAAATTATAGTGAATTAATCAAGCAAAAGTGTCTTTCATTGGGAGCTCACGCATTGTGGTAGAGTGTGGAATCATCAGTAAACAGTCGTCATCATCGCAGAGGCGCGCTTTCGAGCAGGATTTGTGGATAATATCTAACATCTTATTTGCCTATTCCAGGTAATAATCGTAACAGAGAATCTGTGAGACGGAAGACACGACCACGTGTTACGATTATTACC